GTCTTGAAAGGTATCGCAAATTACCAAAATACACAATTTGAAGGTAGTCGTAATTGGCAAGCTGACGTAGAAGTAGGTATTCTCTACAGGCAAGCTGAACGGACGTTTATAGGAGGAAAAATCCACGTCTTATGGGTTCTTGAAATAAAATTAATAAATCAAATAGTTAAAACACTTTTATATAAGTCCTTAACTTTACACCTTTACAGTAAATTAACTTTACGCCTTTACAAGTTCGGAACAAGTAATTTTTATTAAAATCTAGCCACAAATACTCGTCATTTTATCAAATAAGTAAATTTGATCTCCGTTGCGTATGAGTAGTGTCGTTACTTATACGCACAACTATTAATTTAACATATTGAAGCATTTCATCACTTCTATAGGGTATTTCTCAATGGAAAATTATAATTCGAAACCTGGGGCATATACACTTCAAAAGGAAATGTTTGTCTATGATAAATCACCGATAATAATTACAAATTTTTATCAAATTAATCCCACAGTGAATTATTAAAAAAATGTACACTATACGACCTTGAACTCGTTTTCCTTCATTTCACCATTTTATAAATCATTAAGAATTTTTGTATAGAGTTGTCATTTCTTTTTTCTCTACCTTCATTTATTTAGAATAAATATCATGTACACAACATGTAAATAATTTACACTTTCACTTTCCGACAAAAAGAACTCATTACAATCTCTCTCTCTCTCTCTCTCTCTCCTCAACTCCCTCAGTGAGTTTACAAAAAAAATTTAATGGCCCACAAAAACTGTTCATTCATTCCGAAAAAAGAGAAAATATTTATGCCAGTGGGTGATTTACATGTTCTTTTTGAATATTCAACGAAAACAAAACAAAAAAATCTCCATCAAAAGGTTGACAGTTTCGCAGCTATTACTACCACATTAAATATTCTGACACTTTTACATGGTAGTTGATGTTGTTGTTTTTTTTTTTGCAAGTTTTTTGTTTTGTCATCATAATACCCATATTGAGTTTCCATAATAATAACAATAATGACGAAGACAGCGACGACGACAACGTCGATGCCAACGTTAATGAATTTGTCTCTAGACTGGAAAATGATGTCAACATACAATTTAATTGATGTATGTGACTTCTGCTTGTAGGCGCTCATATGTGAGGGTTAGGTGGTGATGGGTGCCTCATTAAAAGAGGGCTATAACCTATTTATAATTTAATAATTTTGCTTATGAATAAGGAAATAAATTGCAAAGCACAGATAACCTAAAAAGGTTTTGCAGAAATAAAATGAGAATTTAGGTCGATATTAGATCTACGGTGTAACAAACGTGGTTTTATTAAAATATATTTTCCAGGCTTTGAACAACGTTTTTCTAGATGATTTTTTAGTAAACTTTTTCAATTGTGTTTTTCTCATAGAGAAAAATTGTCTTTTGAAGTGTAATAATAGTTTTCCATTGAGAAATGCCCTCTAGAAGTGAAGAAAAAACTTCAATAGGTAAGATTTACCAAAGTGCGTATAAGTAACGGCACTACTTATACGTCCCGAAGATCAAATTGATTTTTGTTGATGAAATATATGGTATATTTTTGCGAAGATTTGGTAAAAATAAATGCTGATGATCCTTATAAGGCTTACATTAAAAAAATCGTATGATCCTAGATTTGCTGTGATTTAGAAAAAAAAATTTTTCAGGCCTTACTAAGGCGTGGATTTAATAAACATACATTTACATGACCTACCGGGACGTGCTTTATATTAATAAATATTTTTTGACGAACCTATATAAGGCGAGGGGCTTTTAAAAATATTTTTGTATTTTGGTTTGTTATTTAAATTTGTACAAGGACCTCTATATGAGGCTTGCATTTTTAAAATATATTTTTTAAGGATTATTAAACAGCTGGAATTCTTCTTTTCATTTAAATTATTATTCATCCTGAAAGTATGCTTCGATTTTCGGAATTTTATTGATGTAAACATATTTATTTCAGTACTAGCATATACCCGCTACTTCGTTAGCGAATGTGGGATATATTTATACATGTATTAATATATTATTTTATTTTCACAGAAAACTGCATATGTCAGAAAACCTAAGCTATCCACACATTAATATCGAGAATAAATTAAATTTGAGTACCATTTAATACCAAATTTCATGACCCGAGCTCTACATGTTCACCGAAATTCAAATTTTACCAAATTTAGTTCCATTTAGCACTCATTATTTCCATAAGTACCCTCCTTAACCATCCAACAAAACTTCCTGCGTAGCCCAATCCTACACAATGATTCCAAATTAAAATTTCAGAAGTTCAACTCTATTGGTTCACCCAGAATTCAAATTGTACTAAATATAGTACACAGTATAACGAATTTCCAAAACTTCCTACTTAACCCAAACTTACACGCCCACAGTGATTCTAAATCCCTGTTTCAGGATTCCAACTCTATCGGTTCACTCACATTTCAAATTGTACCAAATTTAGTACACAGTAGTACGAATTTATAAATCCTCCTTCTTACCACAAACCTACACCCCCATAGTGATCCTAAATCAAAATTTCAGGATTCCAACTCTATCGCTTCACGCACAATTTAAATTGTACCAAATTTAGTACACTTAGTACAAATTTCTAAAACTTCCTACCCTACAACCCCACAGTGATCCCAAATCTTAGTTTTAGGATTCCAATTCTATCGGTTCACGCACAAATCAAATTGTACTAAATTTAGTACATAATAGTACCAATTTCCAAACCTTTGTACACACCCTAATCCTACACCTCCACAGTGTTTCAGGATTCCAACTCTATCGCTTCACCCTCAATTTAAATTGTACCAAATTTAGTACACTTAGTAAAAATTTCTAAAACTTCCTAAATATCTTACTCCCCAACATTCAAATTGTACAAAATTTTGTACAATTTAGTACCCATAAGTATTAATTTCTTAAACTGAATCCTGGCCCCAATCCTACACCCGTACAGTGATCCTGACTCCAAATTTCATTGTTCCCGCTCTATCGGTTCACCCAAATCTAAATTGTACCAATTGTAGTACGATTTAGTACTTTTCGTACACATAAGTAACAAATTTCCGACGATAATGTTAATTTCAAATTTCAGGATTCCAGCTCGTTTTGTATCTCCAAATTAAATTTGTACCAAATTTAGTACCATTTAGTACTTTTCGTACACATGAGTACACGCTTTCAAAACCATCTCCTTAAATAGACCCTACATCGTAACCCTAATTCGGTTTTCAAATTTCAACTTTTTAGCTCTATTCATTCACATGCTACGAAATTGTACCAAAATTAGTACATTTTAGTATTTTATAGTTCGAATGTTCAAAAAAGTCTTTGCTATATCAATTCTACACTCCATCAGTGACTCTCATTTAATATTTAAGAGTTCTAGCTCTACCGGTTCGCCAAATACAAATGGTGTCATATTTAGTACTTTTCGTACCGTTCTAGTACGAATTTCCAAAACCCAGCCTTATCTGACACATTTGGACCAAGTGTGACCCTTACCCAAAATTTCAAGATTCTAGCTTCAGCCGTTTCTTCTGGCCGTTGATGAATCGTTAAATCAGTCAGTCAATCACTTTACTCTTTTATTAGTATAGATTAACAACCTTTAGTGAAGCTCTTAAACTCCTAAAAGTATGCACCAGTTTTTAAAATCTTCATCAAAAAATCACGTTTAAACCCAGTACATAATTTAATATAGCAGAATGTGTCTCTTAAATATTTACAAAAATTAATGTATACCACCTAATCCACATAATAACCCACTCTATAGCTCGTTTGCTCACCGGAATTCCCCATTGACCTAACCTCCTACAGATGGATATTATACGTTAGCATTTAAATATATTTGCTTAATGTATTTCAAAATTCCGTGGCAAGCAAGCAAAAAAATTAAATAAAATAAAATGACGCTACTTAGTCCCCAGAGCGTGTGTTGACATCGTTTCGAAGCTTTTTTGTTCATTTCGTGTGTGTGTACAAACAGATGCATACTTTTAGGTGCCCGGTGGCACCTATATTTAATAGGAGCAAATGTTTGCCAGGGGCATGATGGTGTTGCTGTGTGCTAATATTTTTATACGACGACATCGTTGTGACAACACAAAAGGACATGAGATTAAGTTAATAATGACTATTTATTTGCCATGTGCCATGTCATATTAATATCCTGACAGGCGAACAAATTCATACACATATGAATGAGGATTTAAGGATATGTCAGTGTGTGTGCTTAAATTTCAATTTCATTAGAATGAAATTAATACTGCCATACTTGATATATGATATCAAGGATATATTTTACGCAGAGATCCTTTCGCAAAATATCAAGGAGTGGTTGCGTATAATTTCTTTTGTCTATAATCATTTGTTTGGCGGATATATGAAACTGAAGTGGTTTAGAGATGGGGTAAATAGTTGTTAGGAGTGTTCTGCACACAAATTATTTTTCTCATTTTCTTCTTCTTCTGAATGTAGTGGTTTTTGTGGTTAGCGTAACCTAATGGTATTCGACAGCTGACTTGTGGCATAAATTAATTTTCATTCCTTTGAGCGGAATGTAGGAGCTTCATTTTTTTTTTTTTTTGGTTTGGTTTAATGAGCTGACGGTGTTAATGTTGTAACTAATTTTTCCCTCCCATGTCTCACGTTTCATTCTAATTGCTGGAAATTAGAAAAAGATTTCCATGCTCAGTGAAGAACATCACATGTGTGATGCATACTTTTAGGCTACAAGTTGTACAGGGGGAATGTCGTATATTTCAGCATTAAATATTTAAAGCTCAACTTCTAAATAGAAACTTAAGGAATTAAAAAATTAAAAAAAAACATACATTGCGCTTTTTGAAAAAATATGTTTAAAACCAGTAAGCAAAGCAGTAAAGTCGGACTGGGCCGACTATATGATACCTTCACCACACTTAAAAAAATTTTCCATTTTTTTAATTTTCAAAATTTCCTTTAAAACAATGTTCAAATCTCCCTGTGATGAAATTATTTCGTTAATCATTTACGCCTGTCTCGAAGTGAAACAGAAAATAATGCCAAATTTTTCGCAATCTTTTTGGTCTTTTGTAGAACAACAAAAACGTCGACGATTTCATCCGTTACGTAATCTGAGGCGTATTTTTCGACGACGTACCATTACAACAACCACAGCAACCCCCACAACAGCGGCGGGATCATCATCCGCAGATACACCGCCGACCTCAGCGTCACCACCCGCCACCAGTAGTACCAGTGAGAAAAATCTACGCAGTGCCACCCTCTCGTCCGTTGCCTCGGTAGCTTCGGCTTCATCACCCTCCTCTCCATTGACCCATCAACAGTTGCATGACGCCTATTTGACCCAGTCGCTGCCGAAATCGAAATCTTCCTATATTTCATTGCTCGGAGGAGTTGGTGGTAAACACAAAAGTCATGATCCAAATTTAAATGCGGCCGAATCGAAAGGAAAATCGAAACATAAAAATAAGAAGCAGCATCTGCAGCAGCAGCAACAACAACAATCCAAAGATTTAGAACAACAACAACCCACAGACAGTGTTGAAGACGACGAAAATATGTTTGGTACCACAACAGCCCAAACAACGGCTTCATATCATCAACAGCAACATCATGTGTCGATGTCTTCGACCACCTCCTCAGGGGGGATGGTGGGTAAGCCCTCAAGGCAATCTATAGGCGTGGCTGTTTTTCCCGGTGCCATGCAAAGGAATTTCTTTGCCGAACGCCAAAAATTACGCAGTGTGGGAGATTCTTCACAGGATTTGGATAGCGGTAGTGGCAATGACAGTGGCACCGGTGGAGGTGGTGGCGGAGGCCATACCTCGTTGGCTGCCAAAAATAGCAGTGCCAGTGGTGGTGAAATGTCCGACAGTCAAAGGAGTTTAAGTGAAGGACGTTTGATTGATAGGTGGGTAGAAATTTTCAAAAATTTTTAGGGATTTGAAATCTATTAAAATTTGTAAAAAATATTTAAAATCCCATTTCGTTTTTTATCTTGCAGTGACTATTCCCGCGATGGTCTCTCTCAGTCCCATGACAGTGTATTCTCAGAATCCGCAACAGCCAGCAGTTTGTCCATTGTCTTGAAGGTGAGTTTTTCCTAATTATCTTATAGGAAGATGATAAGATCAATGTGGGCTCCATTTTTGGGATTTTTTTTTCAAATCCCACATTTAGTTTCACAAAATCCCAGAAACTGGGGAAGTTGAAAAAACCTTAAAAATACATTAAATCCTATAATTTTGTGTTGATAGTGGAGTAAAAACTTCGTTTTTGTAAAAATTTGAATTCCCAAACTTGTTTCTAAAAAATTCCCTCAGTGGGGATTTTCGAATAAAACGACGGGGAAAATTTTAAATTTGTCGAAATTACATGAAACACTTCAATTTTATAAAAAGTAAAGATAAACATTGATTTTTAACATCCCAAAGGTGGAAATTTTTGAAAAATTGCCAGAGAAAAGTTTCAAAAAATATTTATTCAAAATCCCAGAAACTTAAAATACCCTAAAAATACATTAAATCCTATAATTTTGTGTTGATAGTGGAGTAAAAACTTCGTTTTTGTCAAAATTTTAAATTCCCAAAGTTGTTTCCAAAAATTCCCTCAGTGGGGATTTTTGAAAAATTACCGGGGAAAATTTTAAATTTGTCAAAATTACTTAAAACTCTGCAGTTTTATAAAAAGTATAGAGAAATTTTGATTTTTAAAATCCCAACAGTGGGATTTTTTGAAAAATTGCCAAGGAAAAGTTTCAAAAAAAGTTTATTTAAAAAAAATCCCAGAAACTGGGGAAGTCTAAAATACCCTGAAAATACATTAAACACTATAATTTTGTGTTGATAGGAGAGTAGAAGTTCTGTTTTTGTCAAAATTTTAAATTTCCAAAATTGTTTCCAAAAATTCCCTCAGTGGGGATTTTTTGAAAAATTACCGGGGAAATTTTTCAATTTGTCAAAATTACTTAAAACACTTCACTAACATCAAATATACAGAGAAACATTGATTTTTAAAAAATTTACAAAAATCCCAAAAGTGGGGATCGCCCAATTACATTTATTTGCTGAAAATGTGTTAATATTACTCAGTTGTACTAAATTTCGAATTCCCAAAATTATAACCATAAAATCCCCTTAATGGGGATTTTTGAAAAAAATGCCTGGCAAAATTTTTAAATTGTCTAAATTACTTAAAAACATCGCAATTACATTTATTTTCGATTTAGAAATTTTAATTATAAAAAAATTTGTAAATCCTCAAAAGTGGAGATTTTTGAAAAAAAATCCGGGGAAAATTAAAAATTATCCAAAATAGTCAAATTATAAAAAAAATCCCAGAAAGTTGGAAAGTTTAAAATACCCGGAAATACATTAAATACCATAATATTGTTTATAATGGAGTAAAAACTTAATTTTCGGTAAATTTTTGAATCCCTAAATTTGTTTCCAAAAAAATCCCTCAGTGGGGATTTTTGAAAAATTAACAGGGGACATTTTAAAATACCCGAAAATATATTAAATATTATAATATTGTGTTAATAGTGGAGTAAAAACTTAATTTTCGGCAAATTTGAAAACCCAAATTTTATTTCCAAAAATTCCCTCAGTGGGGATTTTTGAAAAATTAACAGGGGACATTTTAAAATACCCGAAAATATATTAAATACTATAATATTGTATTAATGGTGGAATAAAATCTTCCTTTTCGGCAAATTTTGTATTCCCAATTTTTTTTCAAAAAATTCCCTCAGTAGGGATTTTTGAAAAATCAACAGGGGACATTTTTAAATACCCAAAAATACATTAAGTATTATGGAGTAAAAACTTCATTTTCGGCAAATTTTTGATCCCCAAATTTATTTCAAAAAATTCCCCCAGTGGGGATTTTTGAAAAATTAACAGGGGACATTTTAAAATGCCCGAAAATACATTAAATGTTATAATTTTATGCTATTAGTGGAGAAAAAGCTTAGTTTTTGTCAAAATTTTGAATTCTCAAAATTGTTTCCAAAAATTCCCTTATGGGGGTTTTTGAAAAATTATCGGGGAACATTTTAAATGTGCCAAAATTACCTAAAATACTTCTATTATATGATTAGTAAAGAGAGGCTTTGATTTTTAAAAATTTACAAAATCCCATGAAATGGGGATTTTTCAAACATTGCCGGGGACATGTTTCCAATGGCTTTAATTACTTTAAAACGCACTCATTTACATTTATTTGCTGGAAATGTGTTAATATTAAGGAAACAGTTCAGTTTGTGTTAAATTTGAAAGTTCCAAGATTATAACCATAAAATACCCTATGTGGGGATTTTTGAAAACAAATGCCGGGAACATTTTTTATGTCTTCTGAATTACTTACAAATATCTTAATTACATTTATTTGCAATTTAAATTTGAAATTTCGAAAAAATCCCAAAAATCCCCAAAAGTAGGGAATTTTGAATAAATACCGGGAAAAACGCCCCCAATTAAATTTATTTGCTGAAAATGTGTTAATATTAAGAAAAAAGTTTAGTTTGTACTAAATTTGGAATTCCCACGATTATATCAAAAAATCCCCTATTTGGGGATTTTTGAAAAAATGCCGGGGAATTTGTATATTTGTTTAAATTACTTGAAAAACATCTCAAATACATTTATATCCTATAAAATTTTTGATTTTTCGAAAAATTACCAAAATCCCCAAAAGTGGGGATTTTTGAAAAAAATGCCGGGGAAAATTAAAAATTATCCAAAATAGTCAAATTACTGAAAATAACCTAATTTTTGATTAGAAATTTCATATTTTTTATGTGTTGTGGAATTATTTCCACCTTGTGGGGTTACTTTCCCACTTTGTGTGGGGACATTTTGTTTGTGTGTGTGTTTCTTTTGCTTTGAATGACCACCTGTAATGTCATCATACCTCGCAGGTTCTAAGAATATTTTTTCTGTTGACTTTCGTTTTTACCTGCTGCCTTCCTTATACATTTATAAGCTTCTTATAGCTTGTCATAGGTTATTGGAAATTGAAAGAACAACATCGGCTTACTTATTTGTGGTGGGCGGTATCATCAAATTTCAATTTCAATTGACGGATTATAAAAAGAAAAAAACGATAAGGCGGATGAGGCAACAAGTTGCACATGTAGTCAAGATGCACACAAGACCCCTCTATACATATAGGCTTATAAAATGGGTAGATTATAGGCAGTATCGGGCGATCCACCGCACGCGTGCACTCTCGCGAGAGCAACTACCACTATTCTCATACACACATTCAACTGAACCAACTGAAAAACCATTGACTCACACACACATATACAAATGGGTGAGAACCGAATTTTTTATGCTCTGCCGTGCCTATTATAGAGGTCGTAAAAAAATCCATGCCTCCTGTGGATCTGTGAAAATATATTTTTAAAAGTCCAAAAATCCCCAACTTTTTTTATATTCTTCCCTATCATGGCGGATTCTCCTCCCTTTTGAAAAAAATGCATAATAGGCCTACTTATTACAATGTTCCATAATTGAATTGAACAGATTTCCAGTCAAGTGATGCGTGGTATACAAATCACGATAAACAGCAGGGCCCATATGTGAGTGTATGTGTGTGTTGGTCTGATATCACTGCGATTCAAAAACTTGATGTCATTGTAACTCCCCAGTCATGATGTGTGATGGTGTACCTCTCGTCAGCAGATGAATAATTGCGACTGTAAATTGATTTATACGCACTTGAATCACACACATACAGACACACTCACACACACTTACGGCATTATAACATAAAAGGCATGGTCTTGAGAGTGAGATGAATGAATGAATTGAAAAAAAAATTAATTAATTTTAATATAGATTTTAATAAAATTTATTGTTGTGTAAAAAATGGCAGACAGGCAGAGGGACAGACGGCGGACAGACGAACAAATACAATGACATTATTTGCAATTTATTTATACAAATAAACAAATCGTTACGATAGTCAGTCAGTCTGTGGGTCGGTCGCTTTATCCATCCATCCATATGGTAATCATTCAATCGCACTTTAGCTGATCGCCTGATGTTGGTGTTGTTGTTGTCGTTCGTGTTGTTAACATTATGCCTTACAATTGGCATTGTTGTAATGGAAATAAATTGATTTTAATTAAATTCAATTTATTACAATATATTGTGTGGTTGCTGCTGGTATGGGTGTGATGAGTAGGGGTGTCATTTATGATGCAGCCGACGAACACAACAATAATACCATAATAAGCGGTAGGTAGGTGGCGAACATTTTCATATATTTAATTACATGTCATTTGATTCGCTGCAAAGACCGAGCTGCTGGTAGCCGCTTTGGTTTTGGATGATTGAACACAACAAATTATGCAATTTGCTAAATGTGGATTTGTCTCGAAACATCGTTGCACACACACACCCATCTATATATTCACACTGTGATCTCAAATTTGGCTTCAATTAATTTGCCTGCCAGGCATCGACAGCACCACCACCCTCTCCGCTGCCACCACCTCCATCGCTACTTTGCTAGCCAATTTGCAACAGAAGTGTGTTTGTGGTATTTAGTTTTGTTTGTTGTTGTTGCATCATTTTGGCAGGGTGCTTGATTACATGACGCCCCAAAGTTGCAACATGCCAGTGGGTATTTGCCACGCTCTACCCCGCTCCCAACTATTCTATTTTTCCCCAATTGATTTGTTTTTTTCTATGGCCATTGGTATTATTTTTAAATTGATATTTGACTATAGATTGTCAGGCAGTACATTAGCCCCAAACGGATCCAATCAATTCAGTCAGTGGTTGATATTTTCAAAATAAACACACAATAGATAAAAATACATGTGGCTATATTTAAAAATGAAATTCTTGAAATATTTGATAGCGTGTATGACAATGAGTTTGCAAAATTAAAAAAAAAAATAAATAAATAAATTCTATAAGACCTTTAAAAAACTTACTTACTTTACTTGGCTGGCTTGTTACAGAACGGTTGTTCCATAAGCAGAGCTTAAACAATATTTCCAAGGGCGTCGGTCTTGTACGCATCTCCTCCAATTTGAAAGACGACGTTCCAAGATGTTGT